AATCTGTGGAATAAATGGAGAGAGATTTAGCATTCCCCTGTGTAAGATAAGTGGGAGTGATTGAAAGAGTGTCTATTCCAGAATTACAGTTTGTTTTTAGTTACAACACAAAGATGAGACAATAAAAGATTTATATCATAAAGCCAGCTCGGAAAAGGAATCAGAGTGTATTCGCAAATGTTATTATCTTAAGGATAGAATCCTAAGGTGGAAATGAAGACCTTGGTAGGTAGTGCAGAGGAGAAATGGATGTAAATTCACCAGATTGAGTTGCTGGTAGCATACAAAATGGAGGTATTATGGATAGCACACAAATTACCTGTAGGAGATCATCTAGGAGTGAGGAAGACTCGAGCTAAAATACAAAAGCATTTCCATTCGCCTGGATTACAGAAAGATGTGGTTGAAATTTGCTGTACCTGTCATACGTGTCAGATGGTAGGAAAGCCACAGGCAGTAATAAAATCAGAGCCTTTAATGCCAATTCCCACACTTGTAGAACATTTCATGTGGGTTATGATTGTGTAGGTCACCCACCTAAAACCAAAAGTGGGAACCAGTATTTGCTGACCACAATGTCTATCAGATTTCCGGAGGCAATTCCATTATGGAATGTCAAGGCAAAAAAAAGATTGTGGAAGAGTTGCTTGCTTCCTTTTTCCATTATGGATTACCCAGGGAGATTCAGTCAGACCCAGGGTCCAATTTTACTGCCAAACTATTTAAGGGTAGTTTAGGCATCCAACGCTTTAAATTAAGTGCGTACCATCCTGAATCCCAGTGAGCATTGGAAAGGTGGCATCTGACCCTAAAGACCATGCTGAGGGTTTGTTGCCAGGATTAACCAAATGATTGGGATAAAGGTATCCCATTTATAGTGTTTGCTATTAGGGATGCTCCAAATGAATTAACTCAGTTTACTCCATTTGAATCGATATTTGGACATGAAGTCAGAGGGCTTTTAAAATTAATTAAGGAAACGTTGATAGGTCTGAAGTCAGAAATCTCACAGTTATATTGTGTATCTAAAGTGAGAGAAAGCTTAAATAGAATAGGTGAATGAGCTAGACAACACCGGAAAGTGGCACAGTATTTAATGAAGCAAAAAGCAGATAAGAAATCTAAAATTCGTATGTTTGCCCATGGGGATAAAGTATTGGTGTTGTTACCTGTGGTAAGAGATCCTTCAATGCAAGGTTTAGTGATCCCTATCAGATTGAGAAGAAGCTAAGTCAGGTGAATTATCTGGTAAAGATGCCAGATAGAAAAAAGAATTATTGGGTATGTCATGTAAATATGCTGAACCCTTATTATGACAGGGAAAGGGAACTGGAGAAACAGACATTAGTTACTGCCACTCAGAGTGAGGAATCAAATCCAGATAATTTGGATTTTGATGTGCTTCTGAATAAATTAAATAATGAAGAAATCTTTAAAGAATGGGATGGGATAGTAAGTTATGCGTCTTAGGAACAGGGAATTGAATTGAAAGCCTTTTTGCAGCACTATGAGGACATGTGTAGAAATAGAATGGGGATGAGTAATACTATAGAACGTGAGGTGGATGTAGGGAATGCAGTTCCAATAAAGCAACACCCCTATAGGCTTAATCCTTTCAAAGCAACACAGGTACAGAAGGAAGTAGAAGCAATGCTCCAAGAAGACATCATCAAACTGAGTCGAAGCAAGTAGAGTTCATCCATCGTGTTGGTTCTCAAACTTCATGGTCTTCAACCATTCTATGTAGATTACCAGAAGGTCAATGCCATGACTAAATCCAATTCCAAGGCTGGAATACTGTGATAAAGTTAGACAAGCAACTTACATCACAAAGTTGGACTTACTTTGTGGTTACTGGCAAGTACCTATGTCGGACAGAGCAAAATAACTTTCTGCTTTTGTAACCTCAAAAGGGTCAATTTAAAGTCATGCTCTTCGGAATGAAGAATGCACGTGCCACATTTCAAAGAGTTATGAACAGAGTTGTGGCAGGATTGACTAATTGCGCCATCTATATAGATGACTTAGTGATCTTTAGCCACTTGTGGACATATCACATGGCACATTTGGCAGATCTCTTTGAGAGATTATGGTATGCAAAGTTGGTCATAAATTTGGCAAAGACAAAATTTATGAAGGCGGAAGTGATGTTCTTAGGAAACAACACTGGACATGGAAGGATGACACTGAGGAATGTGAAGATGAAAACCATCCAGGAATTTCCAAAACCATCCTCGAAGAAGGAAGTGCTACAATTTATGGGACTGAGCGGATTCTACTGGAAGTCTGTACCAAACCTTAGTAGCATGGTGGCACTGTTGACAAATTTGCTCAAGAAGAACACAAAATTTCGGTTGACAGAACATCGACAGGAAGCATTTGAGAATTTAAAAGCAGCATTAACCACCGCACCAGTTTTAGCCATGCCAAATTTCTTGAAACTGTTTAAAGTTGCCATTGAACAAGTGATGTAGGTGTCGGAGCTATGTTGTTACAGAAGGATGATTGTGGAATTAAAAGGCCAATTGGTTATTTTTCAAAGAAACTCAATATCCACTCGAGAAAATATTCAACCATTAGAAAGGAGTTATTGTGTTTGGTACTGGCCTTACGACATTTTAATGTTTATGTTGCAAACAATATATTGGAGGTGGTTGTGTACACTAATCACAACCCTTTGACATTTTTGGAAAGATTTAAAGACAAGAACACTGGACTATTTCATTGGAGTCTGATGTTATAACCATTTAATTTACAGATTGTACATGTTGCAGGTTGTGACAATGCTATTGCAGATGCATTATTGCGGGTTGAAAAGAAAAATGTGTATATAAGATAGACACGGTAGTGTTCAATGATATATATATATGTATGTAGAATTAGTATGAAATGTGTAACTCTAGATTAATGGCCTATGTATCTACTAATAATGGCATTAAGATTTAAAGAAAAAAAGAAACCATTTTTTACAATGGTAGTTCATTTTTCTTAAGGGGGAGCTGTTGCGAAGTTAGTATAGTACTTGTGGATTGGAAGGCAGGACATTAGAATTTGTTTGTAAAATGATGGGGGGTGGTGGTAAGAGTGCATGGTCCCTTTAAAACGTGTGTTTTTACAGGCTTGGAGATTTAATAAAATGTCTGCAGGCAGCAGCAGATGCACACAGAGTTCATGAAATTGAAACATTGTGTCAAAAGGCTAGACTGTTAGCAGGCAAAGCAGCATTTTTACCAAGACAACAGGTTTTTGAACTTAGCCAATTAATTTAAACGAGGTCCTAAATACTAAAGCCCAATTAAATTTAAATCTGATGGTTTTGACAACCTCAGACCAATCCTATTGTAAGAGATTAATAGGTCATCAAGGGAATAAAAGAAGACAGTATTCGAAAATTGGGGTGAGAACAAACTGCCATCTGTTAAGAGAACAGCTCTCAATAGTCATCAGCTCCAAAGAAAGAGAAACTTACTGGCTCTCACAGAAATCTCTAAGATTTCAGAGTATGCACCATCTAAATAAAGTTCTATAGCACTCCTAGTTAATATTCCTGACACAAGAATTCGGTGGATAAAGGTGTTCCTGGCTGGAGGTCAGCAATGAAGGCAAAAAAACATTTTGGAAGACTTATCCTGGTTGTAATTTTGAAAGATTAAGCTTTAATTTTTTTTATTAATTTGGTTTATGTAAGTGGGAGTCATATCTATTGGAACAGCATACCATTAGAATTTTGTTTTATTTAGGAATAGTTAGTAGTTAAGGAGGAATTGTTTGGTTTGTTAGTAGTTCTGTTACTTTGTTCACTGTTAGAATTAGATAAATAAATTGTTACTTGTTGGTTATAGATTGACTATCAGGAGTTCATTTCATTTAGTTGAGAGGGGTAGTGAGAGGCAGATTACATTTCACACTTCCTTTAACAGATTATGAGGCAAGGTGATCTTATCTGGGTGTTTCAGTTTTAGTTATCAGGGGAGTTGACCTCCACTTCAAAACAGCTGAAAGTCCAGCATTGATTCCCATGATACTCCAGTAGGTATAGCTTTTCACCCAGATGATTATCCATTTAACCCTACTCTCTGTTTTCCTTTTAGCTAACCAATCCTGTAATCTCTGGAATTTAGAAGATCCAAGATAATTTGATTTGAGTGGATAGGTAGATAGAAATTATTTCCATTGGTTGGGCAATGTCAAATTAGCCAGAAGCTTAAACTTTATTCAGGTCTTTCAGGTGGGAAGTTAAGAAAAGCTTCTTAAAGGAAAAGATGGCAGAAGTTTAAAACTCAAAAGCAATGTAAGGTTGACACTTTTCTTAACTGAAGGTATTATACTGAAAAGAAGATTACATATAGTGAGGCTAAAGATCAGCTGTAATGTATTTTACTGGTGAACAGGTTGGACAGGAGAAATTTGCCATTTCTGTTTTTATATTCCTACTAAATGAGGGCACCACTGGCTAGGCCAGCATTTATTACTGTAATTGCCCAGGAGGTATTAAGAGTCAACCACATTGCCATGGGCCTAGAGTCCCATGCAGTCCAGACCAGGTAAGGATGGCAGTTTTCTTCTTTAAATGACATTAGTGAACTACATGGGGTTTTCTCCCCCAAACAATGGATTTGTAGTCATCATTATACTCTTAATTCAGGGTTTTTAATGAATTCAAATTTCACCATCCTGTTGTGGTTGGATTTGAACCTAGTACCCCAGAACATTACCTAGGTCTCTGGTTTAACAGGCCATGGCCATCCTATCCCAACTATGGATGGGATTGTGGAATTCAAAACACAAACATATTAACCATGATCCTATTGACTGACAAAGCAAAATCAAGGAGCTGAATATTCTACTTCCTCTCCTATTTTATATATGCCAGAACATCTTCCATCTGTCTGAAATGGCAACTACAGTGAAGGAATAGGGATTGATTTAACAGTTGTTCTAAACCTGTACCAAGGTGAAACAATAAACTGGAATTAAAATACAAATATAAATTCTTTCACCATACCAACTCATCAAATATATCCCTCTGGTGAACATGAATGGTGACGAGAGTTTCAAATTGGACTCTTTGAAATTTAGTCAGATCATGTGTTGTTTGGCTGATAAGGGCATTCAGCAGATCCAGGAACTTCTGATTAGTTGTTTGCATAATCTTTTTACTGTCTTTTGCAAGTTTAATTGCATCCTCTGAATCCCGTGTCCATATTATCTGGATTGCAAGAATTCCTACCTGGAGGTACAAAAAGAAAACATTGACTGTATGTGCACAAAAATGAATGTCATAAATAACCCAATGCTGTAACAGTCACAGACCTGAAACACTGGATCAGAATTGAATAAACACAGTAGGAAGAAGGAGTCAAGAAATCCCCCAACGTGGAAGAGTTGTCTCCCAATAATTAGGTCCTGTGTTCACCATTTCACTCAGAGAAGTTTTTTTTATTCATTCATAGAATGTGGGCATTGGTGGCTGACCAACGTTTATTGCCCATCCCTAATTACCTTTGAGAAGGTGGTCGTGAGCTGTCTTCTTGAACCACTGCTGCCCACATGCTGTAAGTAAATCCACAATGTCCTTAAAGTGGGAATTCCAGGATTTTAACCCAGCAACAGTGAAGCAACAGGGATATATTTCCAAATCAGGATGGTGAGTGACTTGGAGGGGTCCTTGCAAATGGTGGTGTTCCCATTATCTGTTGCTGGAAATGGTTGTGAGGCGAGGGTGCTGTCTAAGAATCTTTTGGTGAATTCCTGCAGTGTATCTCATCTTGTAAATAGTACACATTGCTGTTACTGAGCTTTGGGATGAATGTGGCACCAAACAAGCGGGCTGCTTTTTCCTAGATGGTGTCAAGCTTTTTGAGAATTTTTGGAGCTGTACCCATCCAAGCAAGGGGACAGTATTCCTTCACATTCTTGATGTGTGTCTTATAGATTGTGGACAGGCTTTGGGTGTTCAGAAAGGGATTCTGAATCGCACTGCAATGTTCCTAGCCTCTTGTAGCCACTCTATGTTGAAGGTGAATCCAGTTCAGTGTCTGGTGAATGGTAGCACAATCCCCTAACCACCACCACCACAGGATGTTGATGAGTGAATTCAGTGGTTTTTGAATGTCAAAGAGCAGTGGTTAGATTGTCTCTTATTAGAGATAGTCATTGCCTAGCATTTCTGTGGCATGAATGTTACTTTCTGCTTGTTGGCCCAAGCCTGGATATTGTTCAGATCTTGCTGCATTTGAACATGGACTACGTCAGAATATGCAGAGTTGCAAGTAATGCTGAATATTGTGCAGTTGAGACAATAAATCATTCAAATCAATCATTGGTGATCATCCCCACTTCTGACCTTACAATGGAGGGAAGATCACTGATAAAGCAGCTGAAGATGGTTGTGCCGAGGACACTACCCTGAGGAACTCCTGCAGAGATCTCCTGGAGCTGAGATGACTGACAACCAAAGCCATCATCCTACTTGTCAGGTATGACTCTAAGCAGCAGCGAGTTTGTTCTCTGATACCCATTTATTCTAGTTTTGCTAGGACTTCATGACATCACACTTGATCAAATGTGGCCTTGATATCAAGGGCTCTCACCTCACCTCTGAACTCCAGCTCTTTTGTCCATGCTTGAATCAAGGCTGTAATGAGGTCAGGAACTGAGTGGCCTTGGCAGAACACAAACTGGGCATCGGCGAGCAGGTTATTGCTGACCAGATGCTGCCTTATAGCACTGTTGATGACACCTTCCATTGCATTATTGATGATCAAGTATGGACTGATGGAGCATAATTGGCTGGGTTGGATTTGTCCTGCTTTTTGTGGTAAAGGACTAACCTGGGCAATTTTCCATATTGTCGGGTAGATGCCACTGTTGTAGCTGTAAAGGAAAAGCTTGGCTAGGAGTACAGCGAGTTCTGGAGTGCAAATCTTCAGTACTATTGCTAGAATGCTGTCAGGGTCAGCTTTTGCAGTAGCTAGTACTGCCAACCATTTCTTGACATCATGTGGAATGAATAGAATTGATAAGATGGGGGTGGGATTCTGTTGAACCTGACAATCCTAAAAACAGTTCTGCTTCAGAAATGGAGGTGGGCAGGTGCTGTCACAGACTAAATAGAATGTTCACCTTGGTTCTCTGGTACTTTCTCCCAGTTAAAGGAAAGTTGAATCTTCTTCCTTGGCCTCAATCTCTCATCCCTTATCCGCTCCCTGAATCCCATCCAGACTGAATGCGACATATGTTCCCTTGGTGCTCCCTCTATACCCATTCACCAAACATGAATATTCTAGAATCCCTACAGTGTGGAAACAGGTCATTTGGCCCAAAATGTCTACACCAACCCTCCAAAGAGCATCCCACTCGGACCCATACCCTATCCCTGTAACCCTGCATTTCCCATGGCTAATGCATCTAATCTATACATGCCTGAACTCTATGGGCAATTTAGCATGGCCAATCCACCCAAAAAATCTTTGGACTGTGGGAGGAAACTAAATCACCCAGCAGAAACCCCCGCACGCATGAGGAGAATGTCTGTGTGGAGTTTGCACAGTTGCCCAAAGGTAGAATTAAAAGGTTCCTGGCACTATAACGCAGCAGTGCTAACCACTGAGCCACCATGCTGCAAGTTTTGATCTGCTCATAAAGAATCAGCCATTTAGAAATCAGTCTTGTAATAAACAAAGTCTCTGACAATCTGATCGAAGTGTTAGTTAACCACTGTCATTCATAGGTTCAATTACAGAAAATTTATTCTGCATCAAACCTTCTAATATTATTTAAATGAATGTACTGCTGCTGAGGAACAGACAAAGAAAGGATAATTTAATATAATCTCATAAAGATGACAATCGAATAAAGTTAATAGTCCAGTTGAGCCTGTGTAATCCTGGAATTCTCTCCCTACAGACACTGAGAGTCAATCTATGGCACATGAACTGCAACAGGTCATGAAGGCAGCTCACTACCACTTTTATAAGGGCAACTAAGAACTGGCAATAAATGGTGGCCCATCCAGTGATACCCACATCCCACTAGTGAACAAAAAGAAAAAAATACTGCTGAGTTAATCTAATAAATTGGAATTGGAGTCTAATCAAGCATTCATAATGAGGCCATCTGGAGAAACAGATACTTAGTCATCCCTGTTTCTTGATACACTTCAAGAGTGTGAAGCAGACCAGAACCAATGAAGTGAAAGAGGACAAATAAAACAAACTCAGATCACAAGAAGAACATGAGTTAATTGGCTGGTGAACATTGTAAATTTACTTCCTTTTCTTCAAAGTTTGGAAGTTAGACTGAAGAGCTGAGCATTAATAATGTCAATTATTTTGACAACAAGGGTTAAGTAAAAAATTTCAATTAATCTACCTATAATTAAATGACAACAGAAAAAGAGATAGCATCATCATAGCACAACCTTGAGGTTAAGATATCTGTAAACAACAGGTTTATTTAATTTTTAAAACCCATTCAAAGAATGTTGGCTTTACTGGTGTTACAGAGGGGGAATAGCCAAATCATCTTATAATTAAACTAAAACACAAGCCCCAATCTGCTATGATGGGAGTGGAGGTGCCTTTCTAATAATTACCCCCAAAACACTCCGAGAAGCTCACCTTTCCCCTCAACGTATTAAAAGGAAGAAAATCTCTGATCTCCACTTTGCAAGTAACAAAAAACAATTTATTAATTTCACCTAACAATGAACAAATTAACAGAATTACTAACGAACTGACAATTTTCCCTTATACCACTAACTACTCCCTAACTGGTCTAAATTCTATTGAAATGCTGTTTAAATTAAGACAAGTCCCACTAATATAAACCCAATTAATAAGAAGAAATAAACTATAACTTAATCCCTAAGTTCACACATACTGTCTTCTGGAATATTCTGTCATCTCCAGTCTCTTCACAAACACCTTTCTTCTGTTAATTCTGCTGTCAGGGATGTTTTATCTTTGCAATTTCTTTAATGAGGACTTTGAGCTACGATACCATGATATCTTTGATTAATTAGATAGGCTTTCTACAAGAGCTGAATGGTGTTAAATTTACAGATGGCTCTCTGCTGATTTTCAAAAAATCTCTTTTTAAATACCACCGATAATGCAACAAATCCTCACAACGTGATTGGGTTCAGGCTGTCAACACCATCAGTTTTTAAATTCAATTGGCTTTCTGTATCTAGGTGCATTGTTTAAATTAATTCGCCAAATTCAGGCTTGTTGTCTTGGGGAAAAGTGCTGCTTGGCTGTTCTATTACAAAACGTTTCCATTCAGGCAGTCTCTGTGCACCTGCATTTATTAACTTCCAAGCACAGACAAAGCACAAGCTCTTAAAGGGGTAACAGCACTCTTTTTGCCCATGATCATTTGTACCAACAAATTCTAACTTTCTGCCTTCCTATTCATGAATACTCTACCCACCTTCGTAACACTCACGGCAGCAATCTTTCTTTCCCATTCCTAATTGCCCTTGACAAAGTGGCAGTGAGCTATACTCTTGAAGTAATGGAGTCATGTGGTAAAAGTACACCCATAGTACTGTCAGAGGGGATCTTCCAGTGATAGCTGATGATGAGATTTCAAGTCATGATGGTATGTGACTTGGAATGGAATTTGCAAGTCATGTTATGACAGTGCAACCATACAGAACAGCAGCAGAAGTCGATCATTTTGCATGTTGACCTTGCTCAACCATAACAGTGTAGCTTATCTGCTTAGGTTTTAAATTTTACATTTCCATCTACATCTGATAACCCTTGATTTCCCTGCCTAACAAGAATCTATCCACGTCTGTCTTAAAAATATTTAATCACCCCGCCTCTACCACCTTCTGAAGCAGAGTTTGAAACTCATTCAACCTTCTGAAAAAAATCTCCTCGTCTCTGTCCTGAAAGGTGACCCCTAATTTTAAAACAGTGTTCCCTATTTCTGCATTGACCCACAAGAGGAAAAATCAACATCCATCTTGTCAAGATCACTCAGGATCACATAGACTTCAAATCAAATCATACCTCATTCTTGTGATCTCCAGTGGAAACAAGCCCAGCCTATCCAACCCATCCTCATAAGTCAACCCATTTGTTCTAAGTATAAATCTAATAAATTTCCTCTGAAGCATCTCAGATGGATTTACACACTTCCTAAATAAGGAGGCCAAAACTGCACACATATTTGGGACGTAGTTTCACCATTGACATGTATACTTTTATATTGCATTATAATAAAGGATTAGTTGTTGCTGTTCATCATTATGTTCTTTCCCTGCTGACTAACTTTGTGTGACTCATACACAAGAATACCTATATCCTCCTGCAACTCAGAATTCCACAGTTGTTCCCTATTTGATCTGATTTGATTCAGTACTGTCACATGTAGCGAAGTACAGTGAAAATTGTTGTCTTATGTGCTTTACAGGCAGATTCTACTATACAAGTGCATCAAGGTAACAGAACAGATTGCAGGATACAATGTTACAACTGTCGAGAAGGTGCAGAGAGAGATCAACATTAACTTTAAAGAGATGCATTCAAAAGTCTGTAAAAATGAGGAAGAAGCTGTTCTTGAACCTGTGCATTGTGTATACAAACTTTTATATCTTTTGTCTGATCAAAGAGAGTATAACTGGGGTGTGAGTAGTCTTTGATTATTTTGGTTGCTTCCCAATGCAGCGGGAAGTATAGATGGAGTCAATAGATGGAAGCTGGTTTGCGTGATGGACTGGGCTGTGTTCATAGCGCTCTGTAGTTTCTTTTGGTCGAGGGAAGAGCAGTTGCCATACCATGCTATGATGCCTCCAAATTGGTTGCTTTGAATGGTACATCTATAAAAAATTATGTCTTTATGGATATGCTGAAATTCATTAGGTTCCTGAGGTATTAGAGGTTTGCTGTGCTTTCTTGACTGTATTTCAATGAGGCAGAACCAGGACAAATTGTTAGTGTGTGTCGCTCCCAGCAGTTTGACACTGTTGACCGTCTACACCTCAGCACCACAATGCAGACAGGGGCGTGCCCTCCGTTTCGCTTCCTGAAGTCAATGATCAGCTTCATTTTTTTTCTGACATCGATGGAGAATTTGTTGTCTTTACACCATGCCATTAAGCATTCTATCTCTTTCCTGTACTCCTGTTGTTGTTTGAGATCTGATCTACAACAGTGGTGTCATCAGCAAACTTGTAAATGGAGTTGGTGTAGAATTTGGCCACACCATTGTGTGTATATAAGAACTATAGTAGGGGGCTGAGTATGCAGCCTGGCAGGGCCCTGGTGTTGAGGATTATCATGGAGGAAGCGTCTAAGAGTCTAATTTAGATAAACGAGAGGTATTGCATTGTAGTAAGGCAAATGAGAGCAGGACTTATACACTTAATGGAAGGGTTCTAAGGAGTGTTGCTGAACAGAAAGACCTTGAGGTATAGGTTCACATTTGACTGAAGGTGGAGTCACAAGTAGACAGGCTAGTGAAGAAGGCATTTGGTACACTCACCTTTATTGGTCAGTGCATTAATAATAGGAGTTGGGATATCATGTTCACAGAGTCATAGAGTCCTACAGCAAGGAGACAGGCCCTTCAGTCCAAACTGGTCCATGCTGACCAACTAGTCCATCTACGCTGATGCAATTTCTGTACATTTGGCCCATATCCTTCTAAACCTTTCCTCTCCATGTATTTGTCCAAATGCCATTTAAATGTTGTTAATGTAAACGTCTGAACCACTTCTGCTGACAACTCATTCCATATACGTACCACCCTCTATGTAAAAAAGTTGCCCCTTAGGTTCCCATGTATTCTTTCCGCTCTTAAACTGATGCCCTCTAGTCCTCGATTTCCCAACCCTGGGAAAAAGACTGAATGCATTCACCCTATCCATGCATCTCATAATCTTATACACTTCTATAAGATCCCCCCTCAGTCTCCTATTGCTCTAAAGAAAAGTAAAAAGTCCTAGCTTGTTCATTCTCTCCCTATAACTCAGTCTCTTGAGCCCTAGCAACATCCTTGTAAATTTCTTCTGCACTCTTTCCAGTTTAATAACATTCTTCCTATAGCAAGGTGACCAAAACTGAACACAATACTCCAGGTGTGGTCTCACCAATGTCCTGTACAACTGCAACATAACTTCCCAACTTCTATATTCAATGCCCTGACCGATGAAGGCCAGTGTGCCAAAAGCCTTCTTCACTGCCCTTTCGACCTGTGACTCCAATTTCAGAGAACTGTGGACCTGAACTCCAAGGTCCCTCTGTTCCACTACACTCATTAAGGGCCTACCATTCACCATGAAACTCCCATCTTGATTTGACTTTCCAAAATGCAACACATCACACTTATCTATATTAAACTCCATTTGCCATTTCTCGGCCACTTCCCCAGCTGATCAAGATCCTGCTGCAATTTCTGATAACCTTCCTCACTGTCCATCATACCACCTATTTTAGTGTCATCCGCAAACTTATTTATCATGCCTTGTACAGGACATAGAATAGGCCACTTTTGGAATACTGCATTCAATTCTGATCTCCCTGCTATAAGACAGATTTTGTTAAACTTGAAAGGTTGCAGAAAAGATTTACAAGGATGTTGCCGGGGTTGGAAGGGTTGAGCTATAGGCAGAGGCAGAATAGGCTGGGGCTATATTTCCCTGGAGTATCAGAGATTGAGGGGTGACATTATAGAGGTTTATAAAATCATGAGGGCATAGATAGGCTGAATTGCCAAAGTCTTTTTCCCAGGCTAGGGGAGTCCAAAACTAGAAGGCCATTGGTTTAAGGTGAAGGGAGTAGGATTTAAAAGGGACCTAAGGGACAGCTTTTTCAAGCAGAGGGTGGTGCACTTATGAAATGAGTTCCCAGAGAAGTGGTGGAGGCTGGGACAATCACAACATTTAAAAGGCATCTGGATGGGTACATGAACACAAGGTGTTCAGAGGGGATATGGGCCAAATGCTGGCAAATGAGACTAGATTAATTTAGGATATCTGGTCACATGGGCAAGTTAGACCGAAGGGCCTGTTTCCATGCTGTACAGCTCTATGACTCTATTGTCAACATCATTTGAGAATCTAATATTAGTCTTTGTTTTCTTTTCTTTGGTTTATTTGGACAAGATTTAGAGGGATGAAGTTTATGTTCTTAAAGAAAGAAATGGCAATGTCTGAATAACAATTTTATAATGTTGTAGCAACAGTGGTTTTGCATATCATATTTCTAAATGGCTGTGCATAGTGAGTGTTCATGGAGAGGACATTGAAAGATCTTGGAGAATATAAGAATGAAAGAAGAATCACATTGGACTCAAAGTGTTAACTCTGTTTCTCTTTCCATGGATTCTGCCAGACATGCTGAGTTTCTCCAGCACTTTCTGTCTTCATCTCAAATCCACCCAAATTGAGCCCTGTGCAGTTGACACCAATCCCAATCAATGCCACAGTCAACTAAGTTAACTTTTTTCTATTCATTACTGGGATGAGGGCGTTGCTGGCCAGGCAGCATTTATTGCCCATCCCTAATTGCCCAAAAGGCAGTTCAGAGTCAACCACATTGGGTCTGGAGTCAGATGTAGGCCAGACCAGGTAACAATGGCAGTTTCCCTTCCTAAAGGATATTAGTAAACCAGATGGTTTTTTCCAACAATTGACAATGGATTCATGGTCATCATTAGACTCTTAATTCTAGATATTTTATTGAATTCAAATTCCACCATCTGCTGTGGCGTGATTCAAACCCGGGTTCCCAGAACATTATCTGCGTCTCTAGATTAACAGTCCAACAATAATATCACTAGGCCATTGCCTCCCCAGCTGGGTTGGTCAATGCAGGTTGATTTTGTCCGCTGAGTTTCACCAGCAATTTCTAGTTTAAAATAAATGTATAACATTTTAGGCTTGCCATCCTATCCTTGTCGTATGCTGTTTACTTCAATAATGTTCCCCTGGAAAATTCAGTCTACAAGTTGTTAATGATTGAGCTTTCTACCTAATTTCACTTTTACTCCTAACATTCTAACTTTAGTTTATATTCCTTGGTATTCAAAACTTTTACCATTAGCCAAAATGTCTGAATTCTTTGTTATGCCTGCTCATAATTAATAGAAATAAAATAACTTTAATGTTTTCCTTTTACCAAAGATTATTTATCTGACATTAGTAACCATCCTTCATAATTTAAATGCTTGATACATTTCATTGATTGAAAAAACACATTACTCATCCTTTTATTCCCCAACTCTCCTTTCGTATTTAGTCTATCATATCTTCCTGAAAACTAGAAATAATCCCTTTTTCCAAAATTCCTTGAGGGTGAAATGAACCTGATCCTTCTGTGGTGTGAATAATATGAGAATTGCGCCAGAAGAGTTGGAAACTTGAATACACTTGTAATAATTGGTATACATATTGTTATTTACATATTAATATCAACATATTTATACAATTGCATACATAAGATTTAACTCAAACTATTCATAGAACCTGGTAATAATGAAGAATAACAATAATCATTAAGACAAAACCATAGCTATTGTCACTAGTTTACCTGGCCAGGAGCCTCATAGAGGAAAGGTATTAACTGGAATTCTGGTTCGCTGAAGCTATAGAATGCTAATTTAATCACAGTATGCAATGATGCTTGTTGCACGCGCAGTAAGTCACCTAACCATATCTCCACAGGACCCTTTGCAATCACTGGTGTATCCAACTGGAAAGTAAGGTAAGGATGAAAAGTGGTTAACATCCATTGTCACCGCTGTTCTAAATAGACTATAATAGAATCTTCACTCCTTTAAAAATTCAATTATATTTTCATATAGCTTATGTTTTAAATAAATATTCCAGATATTATTCTTAAAATATCTGAGCGATCAAACCAGACTTTAATTCAGTCAAACAGCATGGAAACAGGTCCTTCAGTCCAACCAATCCATGCTGACCATTGTACTAAACTAAACTAGTCCCACCTGCCTGTGCTTGGCCCATATCTGTCCAAACATTTCATACTCATGTTCTTATCTAAATGTCTTTTAAAGTTGTAACTGTACCTGCATCCATCACTTCCTCTGGAAATTCATTCCACACAAGAACCACTCGCTATAAAAAAAATGCCCCTCGTCTTTTTTAACTCTTTCTCTTTGCACCTTGAAAATATATCCCGTGGCCTTGAAATCCCCACCCTAGGGAAGACACCTGCCATTCACCTTATCTATACCCTTCATGATATTATAAATCTCCGTAAGGTTACCTCTCAATCTCTTATGCTCCAGTCAAAAAATCCCAGCCTATCCATATAACTCAAAGCTTCCATTCCCAACAACATCGTGATAAATCTCTTCTGAATCCTCTTCAGCTTAATAACATCCTTCCTTTGACAGGGAGACCAGAACTGGACACAGTACTCCAAAAGATGCCTCACCAACATCTTGTGCAACCTCAACATAATGTCCCAATTCTCAGGTCTGAGCAATGAAGGCAAGCATGCTAAATGCCTTCTTAACCACCCTATCTATTATGTAATGCAAACTTCAAATAATTATGTACCTGAACTCCTTGGTCCTTAGCCTATCGTCTGCTGGTGCTTCATCCTGAGCTATTTTATTGGCAGTCATCATTTAAAATTGCCTTCAACTGCCAGGGATAGTATGAGGGGGCAGATTCCAGGTCTATCCAAGCCAAAGTGGAAACAGACCCAAAACCGTGACATTGAACCACGCACTAGTATCTAGCTAACAGAACTAAGGAACATTTACAACTGTGTATAGCTACAACACTGGTATCTGACAATTTAGGAAATTACCCATATAAGTCATGGACATGAGAAAGCAAGACAATCCAACTTAGCCAGCTATTGACCCACCAGCCTATTTTTGATCACCAGTAAAATGATGGAAGGAGTTATCAACAAGATTCACAACTATCTTCAGCCAGAACTGCCAGATAACTGATTAATCTCAGCCTCCTCCAATGGTTCCCAGCATCACCAATGCCAATCTGCAGCCAATTTGATTCAGTCCATATGACGTCAAGAAATGTCTGGAAGTATTCAGTACTGCAAAAGCTATGGGCCCTGGCAACATTCTGGATATAGTACTGAAGACTTGCACTCCAGAACTTGCTGTACCCCTAGTTAAGCTGTTCAAGCAGAGCTACAAACTGGCATCTACATGACAATGTAGAAAATTGCCCAGGTATGTCCTGTATACAAAAAGTAGGACAAATCCAACTGGGCAAATTACTGCCCCATCAGTATACTCTTGATCATCAATAAAATGATGGAAGGTGTCATCAGCAATGTCATCAAACAGCCCCTGCTTTGCACTAACCTGCTCACTGACACTCCGTGCGGATTCCATCAGAGCCATTCAGCTCCAAAACACATGACATCCTGGGTTCAAGCATGGGTAAAGGAGTTGAACTCAAGAGGGGTGATGAAAGAGACTACCCTTATATTTGTCTGAACATGACATCAAGAAGTTCACAAAATCAGGGTGAAAGGGGAATATGAAAGGGGAATATTCTCTGCTGGTTAGAATCATATCTGACACATAGGAAAATAGTTGTGGTTGTTGGAGTTCAGTCATCTCTGCTCCAGGACACCTCTGCAGGAATTCCTCAGGATAGTGTTCTCAGCTGAACCATCAATGACCTTCCCTCCATCATAAGATCAGAAGTTGTTGATGATTGCACAATGTTCAGCATGATATGTGACTCCTCAAATACTGAAGCATTCCATGACCAATATCTGGGCTTGACCTCCAAGTGGCAAGAAATCCTAATGCTGTAGAAGTGCTAATCTTAAACACATGGATCAACAGATTCAAGAACAGCTTCTTCTCTCGTATTATTAGACTTCTGAATTCACCTTTCATGATTCAAATTTAATGTTGACCTCACTCTTCTCTGCAGCCGTAACATTGCATTCCTCGCTCTATTCTATTACCATTATGTACTTTGTATGTTATAATCTTCTGTAGTGCATGCAAAACTAAACTTTTCAATTTACATAGGTATATGCGACAATAATAAATCAAATCAAAAATCAAATCAAGCAATGACCTTCTCCAACAAAACAGAAACTAACCATTATCCCTTGACTTGTCTCCAGGAGCAGAGTCGGAAGGACGAGCAGCCAAAGCATGGAGAGGAGTTGGAGGGAGGAGCAGCCGGAGTGCGTTAATATAACTTACCTCGGGGATTTGCGGCCTTGTTTCCAGGAGTGGAGTTGGAGGGAGGAGCACTCGGAGCACAGTTAGTATAAATCTAATGTACCTCGGGGATTTGTGGCCTGGTTTCCAGGAGTGGAGTCGGAGGGAGGAGCACCGGGAGTGTGGTTAGTATAAATCTAACTTACCTTAGGGATTCGCGGCCTTGTTCCCAGGAGTGCAGCTGGAAAGAGGACCAGCTGGAGTAACCAAAACCCAACTGGAAAGAAGATGTCACAGGAGAGCTTTGACCTGATTGGGTGGTTGGAAATCTGCGCTAAATTTGAAAAGGACACTCCAGAACTAATAAATAAATTAACTAACTGGGAGTAACTTACTAATAACTTAATGAACCAAATAGAGATGTCTGGAAAGGTGATGTGCTGTAGCTCTATGATGTGGGAGCTGGCTGATCCCATTGCGAGCTGCAATAACCACATCTGTAGCAAGTGTGGTTGCTTGAAGATCTTCGGCTCAAAGTTGATGAGCCAGAATCTGAGCTCCAAACACTGCGGTACATCCAGGAGGGGAAAAAGTACCTGGACGCATTCCTTCAGGGGGCACTCACATCTGGTCGATTAAGTACTTCAAATTCAGTCAGTGATCAGGAACAGCAGGGTTGATTGCAAGTGCGGCAGGTAAGTGGATCCTGAGTTCAGGAATGGAGGAGCCTCAGCTCTTGACCTTGTCCAATAGGTATGAGATACTTCCTCCCTGTGATGAGGAAAAGAGCAGTAGGGAGGATGAGCCAATTGGTACAGGAGACCATTCAAGAGGGCGGAGCAAAAAGATAAGTGGTAGTTGTAGGGACTCTATAATTAGGGGGATCGATAGCATCCTTTGCAAGCAGGATCAAGAGTCCCGCACGGTGTGTTGCCTGCCTAGTGCTATGGTGAGTGACTTCTCTGGCCAGCCTTCCTTCGATAGCTCAGCTGGTAGAACGGACGACTGTAGTGTGTTGCGAGTCTGTCATCTTTAGGTTGCTGGTTCAATTCCAGCTCGAAGGAGTCGCCACCTTCCTTGGGGCAGCAGGTGGCTCAGTGGTTAGCACTGCTGCCTCACAGCGCCAGGGACCTGGGTTCGATTCCACCCTTGGGCGACTGTCTGTGTAGAGTTTGCACATTCTCCCCGTGTCTGCGTGGGTTTCCTCCAGGTGCTCCGGTTTCCTCCCACAGTCCAAAGATGTGCATGCTCGGTGGATTGGTGGTGCTAAATTGCCCATAGTGTTCAGGGATGTGTAGATTGGGTAGGTTATAGGGGGATGGATTTGGGTGGGATGCTCTGAGGGTTGGTGTTCACTTGTTAGGCCGAAGGGTCTGTTTCCACACTGTAGGGATTCTATGATATTGGAGTAGGAGGGCAAGGATCCAGTTGTTGTGGTCCACGTTGGGACAGACAACATAGGCAAGGCTAGGAAGGAAGATCTGTTTGGGGATTATCAAGCATGAGGAATGAAATTAAGGAACAGGTCTTCAAGGGTTATAATCTCTGGATTACTAGCCAAGCCACATGCAAATTGGCAGAGGGATAAGAAAATTAGGGAAGGAAACATATCGCTAAAGGAGTGGTGTGGGAAAGAGGGGTTCCATTTCATAGGGCATTGGCATCAGTTTTAGAACAGGAGTGGTATGTACTGTTGGGATGGTCTCCACCTGAACCAATCTGGAACCAGTGTTCTAGCAAAAAGGATAAATAGGTTGGTCACTAGGAATTTAAGCTAGTGAATTGGGGGAAGGGAAGGGGAAAATGACAGGAAGTATAATGGTAAATAGAAAAGGAAACAGCAGGTTAACATTTATGCAGGAGGGTTTAATTACATCAAGGGCTATGAAGGGAATTAAGAGGAAGGAAAATTCAGGAGATTTTATTAATAGAATGTAAGAATTCAAAAAGAAGAATGCTCGCAGCATTCGAAACAAGGTAGATGAGTTAACGGCACAAATCATCGTGAATGAGTATGATTTAGTAGCTATTACAGAGATATGGTTGCAGGCTGGTCACGACTGGGAATTAAATATTCAGGGTATCAGACTGTTTGGAAGGACAGACAGGAAGGTAAAGGAGGTGGTGTTGCTCTGATAATTAAGGACAATCAGTGCGCTAGTGGGAGATGATATAGGTTCTATGGAGAATAAGGTTGAATCCATTTGGGTGGAAATTAGAAATTCTAAAAAGAAAAGGTCACTAATAGACGTGGTTTATAGGCCACCAAATAATAACAGCACATTGACGGACAAAAAACAAAGAAATAACTAATGCCTGTAAAAATAGTACGGCAATTATTGTGGGGGATTTTAATCAGCATGTTGATTGATCGAACCAGGTCAGTTAAGGTAGCATTGAGGAGGAGTTCATTGAATGTATCTGTGATAGTTTTCTTGAACGGTATGTAATGGAACTGACAAGGGAGCAAGCTATCCTAGATCTGGTCCAGTGTAATGAGACAGGAATAATTAATGATCTTATAGTTAGGGATCGTCTTGGAAGGAACAATCAAAATATG